CATATATATCTCACTGCAGAACTCTTTATTGTTCTTCACATCGACACTAAAGAATTAATATTGCTTGTTTTCTGCGCAGCTTGGACGGCCTGAATACAATAGCTCTAAGAAACAGAATTCTATCCATTTATCAGCGAGTGTAACAGCAATTTCAGTAGAATTTCAATTAATTTTCTGCAGTAGATTGATTAAAATTGATTAGCAAGAGAAGGACAAATATGTTGAAATTTCTCTGCTAATCAAGTTAATTCAATCCAGAGCCAGCAGGAAAGACAGTATGCTCTCGCCTTGAACGTCCTAAGGTAGCAGAGAGCATCATGTACGTGAGACTGTTAGATAAGTCGGTGGGGGGTCTATAATTTAGTATCTCGTGTCAATAAGATGTGTGTCTTCTCTCTCTGTATTTTGTCACTGTAATGAAGCCTTGGTGACCTAAATAGATCATGCTGTTTCAAGTAAATATACTAGGGGTACAATCTATTAACTCAATACGCTGTCAGGGCTGAGCGAAATAGTCTTTCTGTTGTACAATGTGTGTGCTTGCCAGCTCTATATGTGAACTTTGCACTGGAACAATTGCTGTAGCCTCTGTAGCATACTTAACGGAAAACATGTTTCCAGTCAGTATCGGCAATGAGTTTTTATTGAATATTATGGATTGATCAGATTGCTAGTGTCACGTGTCTACCTATTAATCATCTAGCCTTTCATATGATTTCATCTAATTTTATCTACTGTGAATTATGTTCTATTGTGATTTGGACTACTATGACTTATGTTGATTAGAAAGAATTTGCTCGCGCGGGTGTTTGTAGCCTTGTGGAAGATAGATACAGAGAATTGTGGTCCCCACTGAATCTGCCGTATGCAGACAACAGAAAAATGTCAGAAAAGCAAAGCTTGCTGCATTTCTCTGTGAAGATTCTGTTGTGATCAATGTCACTTTATTTATTGATCAATGGAGACACAGAATTTATTTTCTCCCCACAGAAAACAACAGTTCTTTGAATTAGGCTACTCTTCAATGTATTGCTCCCCGCACTCCCCCTCGCCCCAGCACACATACATGCATGCACACCCACACAAACATATACATTTTATGGGGCTGATCTTACAATCTCTGAAGACTGCACAAGACTAACCTGGATCTGTCATTGATCAGCAGGAGGTATCAAAATGGGGATTCTGGTTCTCATTAAATACCCTGAAAAAAATGTACAAAGTCTTAGGCTGCTTTCACAGTGATCCCTTTGTCTTCCATATTTGCGCTAAAAAGAAGCGGAAAAAAAAAAAACCATGTAACCATGTATTCCTAGGAAACTCTTGTCACTAATCCGTTTGTCTTCCATATTTGCACTAAAAAAAAGCGGAAGAAAAACATATAACCATGTATTCCTAGGAAACTCTTGTCACTGATCCTTTTGTGTTCCACATTTGCACTAAAAAAAAGCGGAAGAAAAACATGTAACCATGTATTCCTAGGGAACTCTTGTCACTGATCTGTTTGTGTTCCACATTTGCACTAAAAAAAAGCGGAAGAAAAACATGTAATCATGTATTCCTAGGGAACTCTTGTCACTGATCCGTTTGTCTTCCATATTTGCACTAAAAAAAGCGGAAGAAAAACATATAACCATGTATTCCTAGGGAACGCTTGTCACTGATCCGTTTGTCTTCCATATTTGCACTAAAAAAAGTGGAAGAAGAACATATAACCATGTATTTCTAGGAAACTCTTGTCACTGATCCGTTTGTCTTCCATATTTGCACTAAAAAAAGCGGAAGAAAAACATGTAACCGTGTATTCCTAGGGAACTCTTGTCACTGATCTGTTGCTGGTCCAGTGCATTTTTTATAATCCTGTTTGCTGTATTTTTGGTGCAGTTTTGGTGTGGTAAAAAAAAACGCACCAAAAATGCACCTCTGCATTGAAATCAATTGGTAACGCATAAAAACGCACCCACATTGCATTTTTGGTGCGGTTTTGAGTCATATGTCCTGTTAAAAAAAAACACCCCAAATGTAAAAATGTGGTAAAAACATTAAAAAAAAGTGTGAAAGTAGCCTTAGAATAGTCTTCAGCACAAATAGGTACAGTTTATGAACTGGCAGCATGCATGTACACCAGGGGCGGACTGACCATTCGAACACTCGGTCACTGCCCGAGGGCCCAGGGTCAGTGGGGGGCCCCACGAGATGCCCCTGGTACCTTTCATTGGCTTTTTCATAGGCTTTTTTGGGTGTGGGAGAGGACATGGGGGCCCCATGATCCCCTATTGCCCGGGGGCCCCATGAGTTGTCAGTCCGCCCCTGATGTACACAGCAGGTTTTCTTGCCTGCTGTATCTATGTGTCATGCTATACTGTAGTATAAGTATTAAACCAGTGGACCTGGTTTACTAAACAGGTGCAAAGTTAGAAGCAACAATGCAAAAAAGGTTCAGGGTGGCAAAGAACATGCATACACCATGAACTCAGGGTAACATGTAACTCTGTAGTACCAACCCCTGCAGGAGCCGCAGTTTAGGTCAGGTCCTCTGTTCTTACCTAGACTTCAATAAATGCCACACCACCATTAACACCTTAGGTTTATGCGTTTAACAGATGTAGGTTAGTAATTTTTCAATACCTTAGGGTCACCCTGAAATTAGACTCAAGACTTTATAGCAAAAATCAAAGTATATTGTCAAGTAATGAACACATAATAGAGTATAAGAGTGCAAACATTTACAGCATAAATGATTTAATGAAGCCTCACTTGTTACAGTTAATGTCACTTACCTGGATAGTGAGCCTGACATGAAGAGGCAGGCCTCCTGTACAACTCCGGCTCAAGGACCGCTGATGGTGAGACAGCGGCCGCAGGGGCACGGTGGGGTATGAGTGCCTGTGATCAGTCCAGTAATAGCTGGTAAGCAGATGAGCTGCAAGGAGGGCTGGAGGCAGAGAGCAGGATTCCGATGCAGCCATGCTGGATGGATACCTGAGAGTAGAGTGCTGAGGATGCAGGGTCAGACGTGCCGGGTTTGGTATCAGTCAGGCAGATCAGGATTAAGTGCAAGGAGGAAGAGTAGTCGGGTCACAGGCCAGGTCAGCAGCAGAATATCAATCAGACAGGAGCAGAGACAGAAGGGTAATCCAAGGCAAGCCAGAGGTCATGGCAGGTAGCAGTCAAGCAGAGATCAGAAAAACAGAAGACAATCACATGAATCAGGGAACTCAAGCAGGGATAAGACCATACGGCAATGGGAAAATGGGACTGCAGACAGTTTAAATAGCCCTTTTGGCGCCAGCATTAGTGACAGGCGCGCGCCTGTATGCACGAGTGCGCATGTGTGCATGCCTATGTCCAAGCACCTGCACATCTGCCCGGCTTGTAAGAACTCTGTGCATGCGCATATTTGTGCGCCGCGGATCTTTGCCTGCGCTATGGGCAGGCCTTTCCTGACAGTTAGGGTACTACCGTAAACTCAGATTAAACCAGCATAAATTTTAGCTCCCCTCACTGAACAAGCAACAAAGGCAACAGGAAACTGATATCAATGCAGATAAGTGCTGTGTTGCTAATGGGCACTTGAAATGAGGGTGCTAAGGGTGCTAAGCATAAGCCTTTGAAAAAGAGAAAGTCTTTAGATTTAGTCTTCTGCCTACTATTTTGGGGATCTTGAAGATGTTGGCACACTTATTGATGTGAGATATCCCTGCACTCAGTGAGATAGTCCTAAAAAACAATAAGCTCTTCAGAACACTGACGTGGGAGGGGCCAGGCAAAGAGTTACGGTTCTGTGATCTATACTCTGGCCAACAAGACCAGTGGTGCTCAATAAAGGGCAAGTTTGAAGTAACAGTAATAGCAAAGGGTAGTAAATCGTCCCAATGAGTATGCACAAAGCCAACAACAGGTCAATAATGGGTCAAAGACCCACTCACCAATGTCCCTCCATCTGTTGCAGCAGGTTTTTTTTCACATAGAAGGGGCCCCCTTTGAAGTGGTGTGCATTCAAGGTGGCTTCCTGGGATGTTCGCGATGGCACAACAGCAGTAAACATCTTTGGTCCAGTCCTGTGTGGCAGCAGTATCAGGCATCTAGACTGGATTTGGTGTCCAGGATCCCTGATGGCATGAATGACAGGCCTCTAAGCAGGATTTGACAGCAGTAGCTAGTTACAAACACAATCACTTTCTCAGTTCAGTGCAGTTAAGCTAACATTTCTCCAGAACTTACAGGCAATACAGTACAGTCACTGATTGAACTTCCAAGTTCTCTCTCACTTTAGCAGGTCCTCCTACACTCACTGGCAGTGATCTCCCAACTCCCCCATGTCCTAGATTCCTCCTGCCTCCAGGCACACTGGATCCTGTAGTTTCTATGATAGTAATGGTGATGGCATCGCTCATAGCCCAGACTACATCCCCCAGCATTCAGTGTTCGAGAATCAGGAGCTGAATGTCCACAGTTCTATCTTGTAGCACAAAAAAAGGGAACTTTTCAGGCAATTTGAACAATAATATCTTATATAATCTGCATAGTCCAGTAACAAAAAAAAAACGCCGCCCGCCAAACATGATGTGACCTGTCATGTTGTGTTTTCAGCTGCAATTTTATTGTTCAGGTCAGAGTTTATCGTGTATGAAGTTGGATGTAATTTGGGGAGACATTTATTTTGTTATTGTTTTTTTAATAAAGGACTTGTCAAAAACTGTGCTTGTGTTTGTATTTACTAGTCAGTATTTTTGGTGAATGATTAGGGGTACTATATAGAGAGGGACGTGCTCTGGGGGCTTCCTGATTCCAACAGGCACCCGCCCTCAGACCCCCACCCCCATCCAGGGTTGAGGGGATAAGGCCCTTGTTCCCATGAACATGCTGTGTGGGGGGGGCTGCTACAGGGTGGCACCTGTGCACAAAAATCACGAATATATACGTGATTTTGCTTTTTCCGGGTAGTGGGGCACGCGCGAGCCACGTGCACGCACTACCCGCGCCATAATTTGAGGCCGTGAATGTCAATCACTGGGTCCCAAGCGGTAATTACCCACCGAGCATCTCCAACGGGGAGGAAGATTGTTTTGTTTACAAACAATCTTCCTCTCAATCAGCTCCAGCATACTGCTCAGGTTGGCGGTGCACAGTACATCCCGATTAGTGTGCTTACAGTGAAGAACACACACACCCCGCCCCCTAGTAAAACACACAAAGCACACAGTAAACCCTTTGATCACATCTCCCTCACATTAACCCCTTCCTGCCCAGTGCCATTAGTACAGTGTCAGCATTTTTTTTTTGCACTGATCACTCTATTGGTATCACTGGAGATGTCAATGACACCAAGTTAGTTCCCCCCCATGTCAGAATGTCCGCTGCAGTCCCTCAGTCCTGCTAAAAGTCGCTGATCGCCACCATTACTAGCATAAAAAAAAAATCCCATTATCTATACCGCCATTTGTAAACTTGAGCACACTGCTCAGGATGGCTGTGCACAGTACAGCCATCCTGATCAGTGTGCTTACAGTGAAGAACACATCCCCCCATCCCCTAGTAAAACACACACAGCACACAGTTAACCCTTTGATTGCCCCTCACATTAACCCCTTCCTGCCCAGTGCCATTAGTACAGTGTCAGTGCTTTTTTTTAGCACTGATCATTGTATTGGTGTCACTGGAGATGTCAGTGACACCAAGTTAGTTCCCCCCCCCGTGTCAGAATATTCGTTGCAGTCCTGCAGTCCAGCTAAAAGTTGCTGATCGCCGCCATTACTAGTAGAAAAAAAAAATCCCATTATCTATACTGCTTTTCGTAAATGCTGTAACTTTCACGTGAACCAATTAATTTACACATATTGGGATTTTTTTTTAGCAAAGACATGTCACAGAATACATTGTGGCCTAAATTTATGATGAAATTTGATTTTTTTTATTTTTTTACTGGACATGTTTAATAGCAAATAGTCCAAAATATTGTTTTTTTTTCTTTAAATTGTCAGTCTTTTTTTGCTTATAGCGCAAAAATTAAAAACGCACAGGTGATCAAATACCACCGAAAGAAAGCTCAATTCATGGGAAAAAAAGAACATAAAATTTCATTTGGATGACCGCGCAATTGTCATTTAAAGTAACGCAGTTCCGTAACGCAAAAAAAGGGCCTGGTCATGGGGGGGGGGGGGGTAAATCCTCAGGAAGGAAAGTGGTTAACTAGAGTTTGCTGTAATTTTAAAGAAAAATTCCAGGCATGCTATATATCTTTACATAGTTACAGTGGTCCAGCTTGGAAGAGGAAGCTGGGCTTCCAAAGATGCTAGATGAAAAGATAATATGTGGGATCTGAGCTGCGGCACCTGAGCAGCGGATCACAACTGGACAATGCTGGATTCACTGGCCAGATGAGTAAGTGAATTGAGGACCACCATGTATAACATTTAAGAGAGGAGAAAAAAAAGTGATGGGGGGAATGTTGTAGAACTGAATGTTGTAGAACTGAAGTTCCTCTTTATTATAGCACCAATAATATACTGTACTTTACAGAGTTAAGACTAACCTTTCCAACCCTTTTAAGCCTTTTCTCCTGAACAAGAAAAAACATATTTCAAAGCCCTTAAAACATCTATAAAACACACAAAGACCATTTTAGAAATTCCAAAGGAAATCCCTTCATCCAGCTGAAAATTGGCAAAAATGTACAAACTGTAAGTTTATTGTGCCATGGTGGGAATTAACACCAGAACTCCAGCTCTTCACAATGCTAACAACTAAGTCACTGACTGTAAGTGCGACTTTGGACCTCATTTCTGCTCTTTGCACTGCCCTCACACAAATATGTGGCCTCACTGCACTGAGCTTTATGCGGTGGTGCCGCATATTTGCGTATCTCCCAGCACAGAAACTGGGGTTTCACTGTGAACCCCGGGTCCCATACTAACGATCGGGACATGGAACTCCCGATTCCGGGTCACCTGATCGATGTGATAGCCTCCGATTGGCTATCACAGTGATCAGTCACTGCGAAGCCTGCCCCTGTGTTTTCTCTCTCTGAGTGGGGGAGAGAGATACATTGTATAACTCTCTGTCCTTTCAGAGAGAGAAATAAAACAGTGTGTAAAATAAGTAAATAAATATTACAAAATAAAAAAAAAAAAGAAAGAAAAATAAAGAAGTAATACATAGATTAAGGTTTGATTTAGGTCAGTGCCAGGGTTAGTGTTTGGGTCAAGTAAGAGTCAAAGGTCAAGGTCAGGGTCAAAGGTCAGGGTTAGTATATTTTAATTAGTATCAGTGTGTTTTAGGGAGGACAAAAAAAACAGCAAAATGTTCACTATTGTTTTGGGCTTTACTCTGGGTATAAACAACAAATAACATACACATATATGGCATTGCTGCGATCGACAGGAGCAGGAGAATTTATTTTGGGTTGTTTTTTGGTGGTAGGTAATGGTAGTAACAATATACAGCTAAATTTAAAAAAAAAACATTTATTTTTACTATTTTGTTATCCTTAAATAATAAAAAAAAAAAAATCAGGAGATATCTATTACCATTCACCACCAAATGAAAGCCCAATTTGTCCTGAGGTATAATTCACCCAGATGTACTAAGTAGTTGTGATGATATGTACAGATTTACTAACACATGTCAAAGTTGCAAAATTGTGCTTAGGCATTAGGATTTGTTTTATCCTCAGGTGTGAATGGGGTTAAATAAGGGAATATGGTGCTCAGTGAACAGTTGGAAAAGAGCTTTCTTCTATGAGACAAATGAAAAAGCTCACTGCGAATGCCCTAGTCTTTCAAAACAAAATAACATCTTCCCACAATTCATTGCATTTTAAAGTGATTAGCATTTATCTCTAAATACTACCTTTGGGTGCCAGTAACATTTGCTGAATGACGGGAACACCACACATGCTGGATGCTGTAAGCAATCTTAGAATTAGCTAATGCCCAAACTACAGCAAGTAGTGTGAAACTGTGCACATCTGCTTTACATCTCTACCTCCCATCACACCTTATTTAAAAATGATTATATTAATGGTACAATTAACCCAAGAAAGTGAGAGATCACTCGAGCGAATACCCTTGCAAGTGTGTGCACGCAGCGATAATTTGAAGATGGCTTTCACACTAAACTTAAAAGGAGAAAGAAAAAGAATTAATGATGTACTTGACTAATTCCTTTCTTCTTTCTCATTACATCTACCAGGGGGAAGGGTATCCAATTGGAAAGCTGTTTGCATAGCAAGCACTTTTTATATTTCTGCTTCCTCGATGGTTACCCCAGGAGCCTGACTAAACGCCAGTCACACTGTCATTGACAATTAACAGTATTTTTTTTTTTTACTTATTAATAAACTGCAATATGTGATCTCAATTACATCACATTAGAGATTGTATATGGGCTGCAAATTCTCTGTAACATAAATTAAAGAAAACCTGCCGTGAGAAAAATGCATGGGCTGCAATTGCTGATCTCCTCCTTAGAATGTTAATTTCCTGACCCTCTGGCTTGAGAGTTTTCTGACCCATAACAAGTATGCAGATCAGCAATTCTGATTTCCCTCATACTTCAATTATAGCATACTTGTTCGGAATCTGTTACTTAGAAAACATTTGAGCCAAAGACAGCCAGGCAACTAATATGTAAAGAAGAAAACCAGCTATGTCAGCTTTTATTTTACTCCAGAAACAATATTTTTTAAATTATATTCAATCATCCTACATACAAGTGATCCAAAAGCTGTACCATAAGGCAGAACACAGCCTTACTGTTTGATACGTGCTAAACCACCCACGCAATGCCTGAGAGGTTTTTTTTTTTTAAGCTGAATTCCACCTTTTGCAAAAATAAATAAATAATAACAATAATACATTCAACTATATTGCAAAAAGCTAAATATGGGCATTTATTATTTTTTGCATTTGAGCCTGCAAAGCATTTTGGAGACCGCGATCAGTGGATCACGGTGCAATGCTCTGTTTCCTGCAGGCTCATCCTCCAACTGCAGATCCGTACCATGATAAGGACCTTCAGTTATGGGGCTAGAAGTATCAATGGGCTAGGAGTGCAGTGACATCACTTCACCTTTGCTCCATTGGGACCAGGGGCGGACTGACAACTCATGGGGCCCCTGGGCAATAGGGGATCATGGGGCCCCTGTGTCCTTGCCCAAACTCAAAAAAGCCTATGAAAAAAGGTATCAGGGGCATCTCATGGGGCCCCCTACTGACCCCGGGCCCTCGGGCAGTGCCCGAGTTTCCAAATGGTCAGTCCTCCCCTGATTGGGACCTACAGTTCCTTTGGTGCAGTAACAGATGGGAACTCATATCCTTTTAATTCACAATTCTCTGTGAATTCAAATTTGACAGGAGCTAGAAGGGAGAAGAACCCCAAGATTCTGTAAGTGGGAGTGGGGGCTGTGCATGCTGACCATTTTTCATGTTACATATGGATGTAACATGGAACATAATCAGAAAGGTGGAATTATCTTTTATCGATTTATAAAAGGCACTGATTGGTTTTTATTTGTAACTAGACTAATCTATACTAGAAAAAACAACATCTAGAATCTGATTAATTGTTACCCCACTCTTTCTTTCTGACAGGTTTTAAAAATGGGGGTGGAAATATAAATAGGTTTTTGTGCCTAATTATAAAAATAATGATTATTGTTATCCATAAAACTCTTAGTAATTGTTTTCAAGAAAAATATGTGAAATTCTTAACTCTACGTGATAAAGAATTGACATTGTGAAGAAGATCTGTAGCAAACACAAATAGGACATATTTATTAAAGGGTTAGTTCATCTTTACCAAAAACTGCATATGCAGGTATATGGCACCTATAGTTAGAAGCAAACTGTGCAGCGTTATTCAAAGTTGAAAAATGCCTTGATAGAGGTGTAAACTACTGACGTATCTCCTGAAACCTGGTTAAAAAAACTCATCAACCCACCCTGCCTTGTTGCCAGGATGTTGCTGAGACATTCTCAGATGTTATTGCTCACCCCCCAAACCCCCTTACATGTGCTCGAACTCTGCCGTCACAGTAGCTCAAAGCTCAGCGATGATGCGACAGAGGAGATAGTAAACTGCACACAAGTAGAGATTTGTTAGCCTGCTCCTATGATAATGAAGGAGAAAAGTAACAGCTGGGAGTGTCTTAGCAACATCCTAGCAACAAAGCAGGATAGGGGTACCATCTCTGGGAGATGCTTCAGGAGGAACATAGATAGCCTACACCTATAGCAAGGGCATAATCCATTTTAGGTTCCCTTTATATGGCTAGTTTTTTTTAGTAAAGGTGAACTAAAAATGTAAGACTAGATTTAAACAGTGCTATTGGTGTGCTCATCTTGCACTGTTATGTGTTTAAAAAGGTTGGTCATAAAAAACACATTCATTTTTTACTGAGCAGAATGGGTGGTAAGATACAATCTATCACTAATCAGTTCATGCGTGGTTGAAATACATACAGGTTAAGAAGTTTGTTTCCTTTTTTTCATAGAAAAGGGAGAACCTGTTATCACATCTCATGAACATTTTCTATCAGGTTGCAAAAAAAAAAAAAATCATCTTTGTGAAAAAGCAAGAGCTTTTAATGCTTGGAGGCATTCATTGTCTCCACTTAATTAACACTTTCATAATTATTGTGCGCAATGGTTAAAGGTGTTCCATTGCAAG